TCAAGCAGGCACAGAGAGCTGTGCAGTCAGGGGTCCACCGTGGCTTTCCTTTTCACTGTCCTCCTCCCTGCATCGTACTCTCAGCCAGCCCCACAGATTGCAAAGCCAGCCCACTACAGTGTGGGAGAACCTCAAGGCACCCACGCCATCCAGGTACAGATTAACATGATGATCGAACATCTGCCTGCATCGGCGCCCCCAGAATCCTCCCAGCCCCAAGAGGCTCTGACCTTTCTAACCAGACTTTTCTAGTCTTCCACAATGTCCTCCTTTATCTAGTCTCCCTTTCCCAGGTCTGCCCTCCCTCTACCCGGAGAAGTTTGCCTGTAGTGTGCGCTCCCATTCTAAGCTGTTCTGAACTAACTCTTTGGCCATCTGGAAGTCCATCATGTTTGTGGCTTCTCTATAAGAGCTTCTGTCATCTTCACCCCTACTTGCCTCCCGCAAAAGTCCATTCTGTACGTCTGCCCCTTACAAGCCACTGTTAACCCTAGTGCATCTGAAACTCACCAGCCATCCGATTAATTTGTGCTCCTTAGAAAAACAGGACTATGACCCAATAGAACGTGGTCTGAGAAGGGGTGACTTCCTCACACTCCGTCACTTCTCTCACAGTTTATGGTTTCTCATTTGCTACTATTGCTGCTTTGCCACACCTTCACAAAGCATTCATTTCTTTGAGGACAACCAAGCCTAAAATACCATTCCACAATCTCTTATCTGCAATTCCAAATTCCCAAATCTCTGAAAATCAAGAGGTGGATCTTTGGTTTTTTCTGGCAGTTTGGTGCCAAACTCATCTGGTGACAACACTGGACCTACACTGATGTGAGGCGACTTTATCCTCACACCCTCCTAGTGTGAACATCGATGTATTTACTGCAGAAATATTAATGTGGCTGATTACGAGATGCTGCCCAAGACCTCACAGGGGATGTTTCCGAACATACGGTACCTTTCTGAATTCTACAACGCCCCTGGCTTCAAGGGCTGCCGATAAGGGCTTGAGGAAATGTACCAACCTCTCTGTTCTTTTGCAACAGATCTGTTGGAACAGAAGCATCTCTAAGATCTGTGATTCCCTGGTTTTTTCTCTCCATCTGGAGGGTGAGAAGACAGCCAAACGGATCAGTGAGGGTCAGAGAGATAGCGAATCTGATTTTGAGAAAGAAGGATTGACTTTGTGTGCCTCTGAGTAACCTGTGTAATCCCTCTGGGCCTGGACTATAGGAGAGAGCTAGTCCCTGAGAACCCTGCTCCAACGGGCTGTCAAGATGACTGAAATGACACACACAACACGTCTTGAGCTTTTAGAAAATGAAGTGCTATGTAACGTTTCTAGTATTTTTTAAGTAAATACGTTTAATTGGAATAAATTAATCAGCAAATACAGTGTGTTCACTCTGTGCCCAGTTTCATGCTGGGTTCTATGAGATAGTCAAGTATAAGGCGCAAACTCTGGACTTAAAGGCACTTCCATTCTGATGGGAAGGCCAAGTTTTGTGCATAAGAAACAATTTAAGAGAAAACAGGACAATATGCATAATAGAGTTAAATTGTTATGCTAAGATATTGCAGACCTGCAAGAGCCGGAAAGGCAAAGCTCACTGGCCAGAGCAGTTTGGGAAGGGGCTGTCAGAGGTGAGGCTTAGTTTGGGTGTCAAAAGATGAGGAAACATTTTAGGCAAGTGTCCTAGGTAAGAATGGACAAGGTTTGTGGGGGCACAGTATGGAGAGAGATGTCACTAGAGTGGAGAAGGCTGGAGTCAAAGGATTGGAAGGACACAGAACAAGCTGGATGGGGTAAGGAGTGTGTTTAAAACGTGTATGTCTTAGCCTGCTTGGGCTGCCATAACAAAATACCACAGACCGGGTGGCTTAACCCACAGACATTTATTTTCTCACAGTTGGAAACTAGAAGCCCCAGATCAAGGTGTCAGCAGGTTTGGTTTCTTCAGAGGCCTCTCTCCTTGGCTTGTAGATGGCCACCTCTGTCTGTGTTTTCAGTGACCTTTCTTCTGTGCGTGTGCAGAGAGAGGGAGATCGCCAGTCTTTTTCTCTTCTTATAAGGCTACCAATCTTAAGGATTAGGGTCCCAACCTTATGACCTCATTTAACCTTAATTAGCTCCTTAAAGGCCTGATCTCCAAAAACAGTCACATTGGAAGTTAAAGTTTTAACACTTGAATTTGGGGGGACATAATTCAGTCCACAGCAGTGTGCATGCACCTCTGAGAAAGCAGAGGGTGTCTGGGTAATTTGAGAGGGCAAGATGTCGACAGCGAGATGGGCAGGGCAGGGCTGGAGCTCTGAGTGGACTCAGACATGAACTGAGTGAATGGACGGGGAGGACATTAAAGGAATTAGAAATTATAGCACCAGGAATGCCTGGCCCACTGACTGGCTCAACTCTCACAAGTTCAAGAGCAGAAACCAGATTGTATGCCCTGGAGAACTTCTTGGAGAGAACGTCCGTCATTTCTTGCATTGCTCTGTCCTTCCCCAGCACCTCTGGTCCGTTGCACCCTTACCTGGCTAGCTGCAGGAAAGTGTGAGATCATCACAGAGCTGTTTTGTGCACAGAGACTATTCACATCTGGATGGCTAATGCTGCTAATTACTGTGCTGGTTGCTAAATCTGTCGGGTTTAGGTGAGGTGAGGCTCCACAGCTGGGGCTGCTGCTCACAGCTTCTCCTGCAGAGAGAGAGGTGAGAACACAAACCAGGAAAGGTATGCTCAGATGCTTCGGATTGAGTGAAACCGGTTAATTACCAGTCACTTGCTGTCTCCCCGGAGTTGGAGTTTCTGGGTAAGGAACACTCATAGATCAGACAGAACATGACAACCCGCAACTTATTTCCACACTAAGGGGGTGGCGGGGATCAAAATGAGAGACAAGTGTGGAAATGGTCTCTCAGGTGCCAGGGCCATCACCACATGACTCGAATGCCCTCAGAACAGGGTGGCAGCATGAGGCAGCAGGGTGCAGAGCCGACTAGACTCATGGAGAGAGCTGGGGATCAGGTGTGCCCATGGGGCAGAGTCTCTTTGCTGCTAAGTGAAGGTTCTTCATCCAGAGTCCTAGATTAAGTTTTAAGGATCCATGAAACCCCTAAAATTGCATGTCAATATGTGTGTGAGTATGTGACTGAGCATTTTTCTGAGAAACAGACCATAACATTACTCAGATTCTTGAAAGGCTCAAAAGGGTTATGTGATCCCCAAAAGGAGGATAATTATAAACCACTGCCCTGGACCCTTAGAGAAACAGGTTAACATTGGGCAGAGCCCCAAAAGAGACTCAGGGTCCCTGATGATCCTGAAATTATACTTGAGGTGTATGTGTGTATGTGTGCACATGTGTGTAAATATGTGTGTGTTTTTCTAGAGAAAGGATTCAATAGTTTTTGCCAGATTCTCAAAAGGGTCCACAACCCTCAAAGGGTTAAGAACCTGAGCTAGATTGGGGGCCCCAAAAGCTAGAAAGATTGCTTGTGCTTAGCTATTTCTTTCCAGAGGACTATGACAAAGACCTGAAAACAGGGCCCAATGTGGGCCCTGAGAGTTCCGCTCAAAATGTGGGGATAACCGGGTCTGATGCCAGGGGCTGGCTGGCGGGGCCCTCCATAAAAGAAGACATTGGAGTCATTTTGATTAAGAGTCAAGTGCCCAGGGCCGGCTCCGTGGCTTAGCGGTTAAGTGCGCGCGCTCTGATGCTGGCGGCCCGGGTTCGGATCCCGGGCGCGCCCCGAGGCACCACTTCTCCGTCCAACGCGAGACCGAGTCCCACGTACAGCAACTAGAAGGATGTGAACCTATGACATACAACTATCTACTGGGGCTTTGGGGGGAAAAAAATGAATAAATAAAATCTTTAAAAAAAGAGTCAAGTGCCCAGACGCCAGGGTGATGGTCAAAAAGGCATCAATAAATGGGAAAACAGTCCTAGCTCCCTCCCTCTCCATAGCGTGTTCCCAGGTCTTTCTCCTCCAAAGCGCTGTGCCCCAGCTTTCAGAAACCCAAGACCTTATCATGGAAGCTCAAAATTCATCCAGTAAATCCTTACTGAGCGCCTACTACGTGCTAGGCTCTATTCTAGGAGCAAAATAAGGAACTTGACTTCAGAGTGTTATCGACCTAGGCCGTTTCCTGCCCCGCACGCGGGTATTTTGGGCACTGCTGACCAAGCGCGCCCTTCCCAGGTTTAGCCCCGGCGGCCCTGGTCCGGAGAGGCTGAGGCCATCCCGCCCACCGCAGCGGGCTGGGGGTCGAGGAGGTGAGAGCAGTACCTGTGAGCAAAGCGGTGAGGGAGGCTGGAAGGGCGCACCGAACCAGAGCGCTGGGCCGGGCTCAGCCCCGGCACGGCTGGGGCGGGAGCTGGGCGGGGTGGGGTGGGGTGGGGTGGGGGCACTGCCGGCGGGCGGGCGGGGGACTAGGGGGAGGAGACGCTGCCCGCAGCCGCCTCCGCCGCCGCGCCGGATCTCCGAACTGCGCTCGCCCTCTCCCCGCCCTCTGGGGCCGTCGCGAAGCTCGGCTCTCCATACTGAGCAGTCCCCGGGAGGCGCTCGGACACGTCCCCAGGCCGGATAAAGATCGGCTCGGCGCTCGCTCCGCAGCGCGAAATCTCGCCATCAGCGCGGCTCGCGCGGCCGCTCCGGCCCGGCCCGCCGACGCCAGATCGCTATCTGGGGGGACGCGGGAAGGCAGCGCCGCTGCTGCCGCCGCCCCCCTCGGCTCTGCGCGCAGGGGTGGCCGCGGGGCCCCGGAGCTCGCCGCCCTCCCTTCCCCCTTGCCTTCCTTCCCGGCGCTTCCTCCCAGGGGACCCCTGCTTCCCGCCCGCCCGGGACCCCCAGCGCCCCGCCAGGCGCCCTCGGCCCCCTCGCTAGGCCCCGCCGCCTCCTGAAGGTTACGCGACGCAGCGGCGGGGCGCTGGGGGCGCCCGCCCTCGCCGCCGCCCACCCCAGCGCCCTACGCGCCGCGCCGGGCCGGCCCGGCTGCCGGCTGCCGGCTGCTGCCACCGCAATCCCGGCTCCTAAATCAGCGCGGGGAGGCGCCCCCTCCCCCCACTCGGCTCCCCGGGCTCCCCGGGCCACGATTGGCCGCGCGGGCGCCCCCCACCCCCGGGCCCCGAGCTCCAGCCGCCGCGCCATTGGCTGCGGGTCTCCGCCAGCCTTTACATAAGCTGGGGCGCGCTCGAGTGGAGTTGTATAAAGCGAGCGAGCGGCGTCGGGGCGGGAGGCTCGAGGCCAGCCCGGGACCGGGGCTGGAGCTGGAAGGCGGCGGCGGCAGAGGCGGCAGCGAGCGCCCGCGCTCCGACGCCCCTAGGCGGTGGGGCTGAGAGAGCCCAAGGATGGCTCCGAGCGCTGACCCCGGCGTGAGTACCCGCTCCGGTGCCCCCCCCCCCTTAGGCGGAGAAAGTTTCTCCCGCCTTACGCGCCCCTCCCGATCCAAGCACAGGAGTGGCGGGGATGCCGCCCGGGAACCAGGGAAGACGGAGACCGCGAAGGCGGCGGCGGCGGCTTGGCTTCCAACTTGCCAAGAGGCGCAGGACTCGACTGGCGCGTAGAGCTTTTCCTACCGGCTGGGGGCGAGGCGGGCGCGGGTCCGAACGTGCAGGAGAGGTGGGAGCGGAGGTGTGGGGGCGACAGCCCGCACAGTGGCAGGGAAGGTGTTGGGCGCGCTGGAGGTCAGCTGTTTGGGGAGGGGGCACCGGGTCTGGGAGGGGGCGGAGCAGAAGAGGGATGTGCCGGGGGTATTGAGGAGTCACTCAGCCAGGCAGGCTCAGGTCCGCCCCTGGCCGGGGAAGCTGCTGGCCTCGGCCGGGTGCCTACGTTTGCAGGATGGGGAAGAGCCCCGGGGAGCTGGCGCTTCTTCCCCGGGGAAGCCAAGCTCCCGGGCACAGCACTAGGTGGCAGAGAGCTCCGGGAGCCAGCCCCGCGCGGCGTAGCTGCCAGCTGCCTTTGCTGGACCAAGGTGTGGTCTCTTCCCTTTCAGCCTGTCGCAGACAAGCCAGCTTCAGGCATTCCGAGGGAACCAGGGGTCCTCCTTGGCCCCATGGGGACACACGGAGGCCTTGATGGGGCAGCAGGCCGGGCTTGGGGACATACCTAGCAATGCAGCGTGCTTCTTCCCAGTGTAGTAGTTGCGAGCCCTGGTTAGTCCAGTTTCTGCAGAAACCAACTCAAGAATCCAAAGTCATCCCAGCCTGGATGGGAGCCTCCCAGAGAGGCTGGGAAATGCTCCTGGGTTTGGAAGGGGGGCACTCCCCTTCCTTCGGGAATGACTAATGAATATTGCTGCTGGGGGTAGTGGGGTGTGCACCTGGTGTGGCTTCTGTGCATCCCAGGAGGCGCTTCAGCTCTCCAGGCAGGACACATTCTTGAGTCACACTTGAGGTCTCTTCTGGGATGTGTGCAAGACTTCCCAAGTGAAGCCAGGTGGAAAGGAAGGGAAGAGGATTCCAGGAATAGGGGCCAGCTTTGTAGTGCTATCTTGAATTAGGGGAGAATTCATATGGGAAGAGAAACGCTATTGATGGGAGCTTTTTTGACCCTGATGACTTGGAGCTGGAGATTCCCAAGACTGAATTAGAGTGAATTCAGAGAGTCATACTGTCCCTCACTCTCAGCCATGAAGAAGAGGAGATGGACGATGGAAAAGTGGGAACATGGCGGTTGTTCCAATATGGCCCTTGAGGAAGCGTTTTTTCTGCCTCTGACTTGATTAAGAACATTCTTTGGCAGCAGGCAGGTCCTAAAGTCAATTTAAGAGGCAACGAAGGGAGTTTAGGGTCTTGATGCTGGCACAGTGGACCACAATTAAAATATTCTGGTTTCCAGTTGGTACTAATGGACTCTGCAGAAGGTCGAAGGCGGGGTGGTGGTGATCTGCTCTGCAGCTGCTCATTTGGGGCTTATCCCTCACCTATACCCCATCTCTGAACATGGGTGGATGTTTTGAACTCCTAGGGTATCTGCTTCAGCCTGGAGATCTTTTGTGGGGGCTATCAATCCATACCCCCAAACCCAGCTTCATCCTCTGCCTGCGGTCAACATTTTTCTGCTGCATTTCCCAAGACCTTCTCTCCATTGGGGATTTGTGCAATGAAATACCTGCTTGTTGCTCTTTCTTCCCTTCTCTCCATCTGGGCTGCATCTGGTATTCTGAACCCTGATGTTTATTACTTGGCACCTTGATGTTTGGTTAAGACGCCCTATCGCTGCACAGGAGTGCCCCTGTGAATGTGCGGACCAGTGGCCTGTGTCATTCTAGGGAGTGAAATGTAGACTTTTACAGAGAGAGGACCACCGACCTCCAAGGCAGTCCTATTAGCTTGTGACAGTCTCCTGTTCTCCATCTTCCTTGCCGCCTGCACAGCGATGGAAGCCTCAAGGTGGAGCAGGCTCCTTGGTGTCCAGTAGGGGGCGCCAAAGGCACCCAGCTCAGGACCACTGACTTTCTCACTTCTTGCCCTTCACTGGCCATAATAACTTAAGGCATTAAGCAAGCTGGGGCAACAGCCCCCAACGGTCACCTTCATGACCGGAACCCTTTTACCACATGCTTCCTGAACTTCAGGTCGTCCTGTGATCTCGGGTGCAATGGGGCAGATGCAAGTACAGCCTCCCCAGGAAACAGAGCTGGTGCTCAGCCCCACCACGCTCTCTGAGATCATTCCTTTGTGCTTGGGGCTGGTGTGTTCCTTGAACTCGTTAAGGGCTCAGAGAGTCCAAGGACATTAGAGCTAGAGGAGAGGAACCTTGAAGAGCATCTAGTCCAATCCTGTCCTGTCCCCAACACTCACATGCACACTTAATTTACAGGTGATAAAACTGAAGCCCAATAAAGGCAAGCATCTTGGCCAAGGTCACATGGCTATTTGGTGGAAGAGACAGGACTAGGTCCTAGGATTCCCAGTCCTCTACTCAGAGCTCTTTCCACTCCCATGACCTGCTTCCTCTTTACTACGGAGGTGGGCCTATGTTCTCTGCACATAGGTACTCACAACTGCTGACTGATTAGACATTGGTAAATTAATAAATTTAGTAAATTTGGGGAAGTTTCCTTTGAATTTATTATTCAGAATGAGAAGATAAAGTTCTTGTACATACAGGTAATAGAAATTCCTAATTGCTCTTTCCCCTTCCTCCATTATCTTGTCTCATTATTCCAAGTGGTCTTTTAGGCAACAGCAGTGCGGCTCCAGGTTTCCATCCTTGCGTTTAGGAATCAGAAGTGCCCAGTCGCTCACAGTGGCCTTGGAACCCAGGCCTGGAGCTTTTCCTTTCCTCCGCTAAGGCGTGCTGGAGGCAGGTCTCTGTATCCTGCAGTCACACCACTGCCTATGAGACCTCCAATACGCAGATCCCGGGTGAAGTGGAGAGTTTCCAACCAGTATTTGCCCATTTCCCCATCCTTGCTGCTCCCAGCTCAAGGTCAGAGTGCTGGGATGTTCTATTTTTGCAAAATCCTCGTGTTAGGGCTTCTTCGATGACCTGAAAGATATTACCATTTCCATTGCTCTTTTTCTGTTCTGTGAGTCTCGCTGTCGATATCTGAGCTGGACCCTGGGAGGGAGGTTTGCTGAGTGGCCTGTGGGCTGCCCCCTCTGTTTCCTCTCCCCACCCTGCTCCTTTGCACACTGCATGGAGTTCCCCCTTGGAGCCTCGGCAGATCTGGCGGCGACCCTCAGGAGGAACCAGGGCTGCCAAGCCAGAATTCCTAGAGGCAGATCCTCTTCTGTCCCTAAGGCTCACCCAAGGGATGCTTGTTGCCAGGGAAGATGCTTGAGTTTCCTTGTCTCCTTCAGGCTCACAGATAGGTTGGGTCTTCGTCTTCCAGGGGAGGATGGAGGTGGTAGGATAATGTGGACCATCAGAGAGCAACAGCCTCCTCCTTTAAAGTGGGGTGCCGAGAGGCTGTGCTCGAGATCTGCACCAGCTCCCAGCTCTGGCTGAAGAATTGTGCCTGCATTCCCAAGACCTGGTCTGGTTCTGGATGAGGCCAGAGGAATATAATTACATAAAATATAGCTATAGCACAGGATCTCCGGATTTTTGCTGGGATGGGGGAGAGGATATTGACTTTGAGAAGGGGCGTTAGGTACTGAGAAAACAAGAAGTTGCCCCTTTCCTGAACCCCACTAGGTGGTGGACCCTCACCCCACTCTCATTGGGAAGACAGCCCAGTGAAGTGGAAAGGGCACAGGCTTAGAATCTGGCTCCCCCGCTTACTGTTTTAGAGACTTTGGACAAATCACTTAACCTCTACATGCCTTAGTTTCCTCCTCTGCAAAATGGTAAGGCTGGCAACTGTATGATGAGAGTAGGATAGTGAAGATCAAAGAAGATAGTCTTTAACATGCCTCTGCCCTTGGTAAGATGTAAAGAGGTATTCGGTTGGGAGGGGACATTATTGTGGGATCACTGGGAACTACACTGGGTCTTCCTTTTCCCAGCAGATGAGACCGAGTGTCCAGGTTTGCACATCAGCCTCTGCTCACAGCAACATCTGGGCTGATGGACAAGTCCTTCTTGGCAGGGCTCCCTCCTTGCTGTCTTCCCTCCCCCGCCTTGAGGTTTTCATTTTGGGGTTCTGCCATGCTTGGGGAAAAGAAATTTTACAGGTCCCAGGGTAATTCTGAATGTGATGGAAGGCCCTGAGCTATTGATTCCTAAGGAAGGATCTTTGTGCTGGGAGAAGCCTTCCTCGGAGCCCAGTGATTTAAGAGTGCTGACAAATCCGTGCTCTCCGAGCCTCCTGCAGGCTGCAGATACAGGCTTCCAGGCCACCTGGGCTCTGCGAGGGATTTCTGGGGAGCCTGGCTGGTTGCTTAGGGGGCACAAACCTGTGAGCTCTCCTTAGGAGGAAGTATGAAGTCAATTGGTTCATTATCACACCAAACACACCCTGGACCACTTAGGGCGTTTCAGAAATGAGAAGCAGCAGAGGACTTGAGGTTGTACTTGAAAAGTGGGCAGAAAGGCGTGAAGGGTTTGGAGAAGAGAAGGGGACAGGAAGACCCTTTTCCACTGAACCACTCGCGATCTTGACCTTATTGAAGTCCTTGGGCAGTGACTAGAGGGCTTCCCTTGCCCCCCAAACATTTGGCCCTGTTGGGAGATTTTTTATTTTGACAGCTGGGGTAGGGAGGACTCCTGGGATCTAGTGGTTAGAGGCCAGGGATGAAGCTAAACATCCTACAACGCACGGGACAGCCCCTGACAAAGAATCTTCTGGCCTGAAAGGTCCATAGTGCCAAGGCTGAGAAACCCCGGACTAGAAGAGCATTGTAGTGTAGAATCACAGCAGGTCAGAGGTGGGAGGGATTTTAGAAGTATTCTCATCCAACTCTCCCACTTCACAGTTGAGGAC